GTGTGTCCACAGGGACACAAGTCCCTGGGATGCACACTGGCTTTGCCAGAGAGAGGAAGGATGAGGGGACGTTCCCAGGGCCAGGACAAGAGGGGAGGAAAGAACATTCCCAGGATATTGCTGGTCATCTTGGGTGAGGCTCAGCCAAAACCCACTGGTCTGCATCCTGCTAATTTTCATGAGGCTCATGCTCCTGAATTGCTGTGGCACATTTTGAAGAGGAAACACTGGCCCAAGGCCCAGCCAGCCCTGATGGCATCATGGGGGAACGGTCCCTTCAGATAAAGTGCTTCTGGCGGCGCAGGAACCACAGAACCCTCATCCCTCCTGGAGACCTTCGACCACCAATGGTACGTGAAAATACCCAGGAGCCTGACTTAAGCCAGCACGTGTCCCAGTCCCTGCTCACCACTTTCTTTTTGAGGTACTTGGGCACATGACCCACAAAGACCAAAGCCGACGGCGTGAAGCTGCACGAAGTCAGGATGTGCACGTCGCTGCTCTTTTATCTGCTTCCACCTGCGCTTCCCACCGTGCCCCTCCAGGAATCCCCACTGAGCCCGGTGAATGAGAGAGGGTGAGAAAATGGGAATGGACTGACTTTGCAAACAAAAGAAGCGGAGAGCAAAGCATGGAGTAAAGACTGGCAGGGGTGGAGGAAGAGGGCAGGGGGACAGTGGAGAAGAAGTATCTTTCCTCAACTCTGCAGCCCTGAATGATCTCTCCTGGTGGGCTCCTGCTGTCTGCAGGACACAGGCTGCACGAAAGGCTGGACTGGATGGTCTTAAAGGTCTTTTCCAACCAGAACAATTCTGTGATTCTCTGAAAGCTCAGGGGTGGCTCAAGGGCATCTGACACTACAGCAGGGTTTGATCTGCCAGCCCCATACAGACCCTGCTCTCTCTCCCGCTCCCTAGTGAGACAGTGTCCCAGGTTGGGCAGAGAAGCTGTGGCTGCTCCTCCCTGGAAGTGTTTGTGGCCAGGTTGGCTGAGGCTTTGAGCAACCTGGTCTAGTGGAAGGTGTCCCTGCTGCTGGCAGGGGGGTTGGAACTGGAGGAGTTTTAAGGTCCCTTCCAACCCAAACCACTCTGGGATTCTGTCTGTGATTCTCCCTGCGCTTTACCAAGAGCACCCATAGCTGTCAGGCCATATATATTATATACATTATAGACACCATTTCTCCCCTTCCTTCTGTGCCAGCTGTGAGTGACTCCTCTCTGGATTACTGACACTCTCCTCCTGCTTTGGCTGCCACCTCCCATCCCCGATGGCAAAGGGCCACCAGCTGGGGATGTGGTCCTAGCTCCCAGCTCCAGCAGGTTTACCGGCAGGAGCGGGCACTGCAGCAGGCACCGGCAGCAGAAACCTCTGTGCAGACAGCACCCTCCAACCCCGCTCCCCCCAGGGACACCCCCAACCCATCAGGAACATTCCAAACCACACAATCAGCCTTCAAAAGCCAAACAGCTCTGACCTTATTTGCACCGGATCCTCTGAAGCCAATTGCAAAAGAGAAGCAGAGAGTGAGGAGTTGAGGAAAGCGATTCACCGGCCACGTGCTGGCCTTGCCTGGAGAAGGTCCCTACCAGGGTCACCCCCAGCAGATGTTAGCACCACACCCAGCTCACAGGGAGAGGAGAGATCCCTGAGCTGCTCTTGGGTGAAAAACAACTCGTTTGAGACGATTTCTCTTGTGAGGTCTCACCAACATTGGCATCTGCTGGATACGAGAGGCTAAAGCCATCCAGCAGCCCCAGGCGCTCAAGGCAGCAGCGCTCTCCTCCTACCAAGGGAGCCAGGGCAGGTTCAGGTTGGGTATCAGGAAAAATATCTTCACTGCAAGGGTTCTGAGGCATTGGAAGGGGTTGCCCAGGGCAGTGGTGGAGTCCCCATCCCTGGAGGGATTTAAAAGATGGGCAGATGAGGTGCTCAGAGATCTGGTTGAGCAGTGGACAGGTACGGTTGGACTCCATGATCTCAAAGGTCTTTTCCAACCAAACGATTTTATGATTCTAAGGGAGCCAGGAATTTTTTGGGTTCCGTTTTCATCCTTGGCAACAGCTCCCTGGAAGGGCTTTGTCAGCCTCAGCTTCCCCATCTGTTCTGCTTGCCTCTCTGGGAGGCTGTGGAGCTCGAGGGATGTATGGAAAGGCCTCCGAGACTGGTTATGTAAAAGAGAAAGAGCAAGACGTTGGCTTGTGCCGTGGCTTGCCTTCATGGCAAGAGTTTGAGAGATCTCCATCTAAGCAGCATCTGCTGAGGATGCAGTTGGACAAAAAATTAAAAGCAACAAAATAAGAACACATTTAGGTATGTGATTCTTCATTTCTGTGTTCTGAAATGAACGGAGAATGGATGAACATGGATTTTGGAGTCACCTGCTATTGCCTGGCTGAAGCAACTCCTAGGTGGCAAGTTCTTACTCTGCAGAACTCCACTACTAAATCAATTATCTGCCTCAAGGGGTGGTCTTTACTGTGGGAACAGGGAGAAAACAGCCCTACCTTCCACTGAGCAGTGACTAATTAGGTTCTGACAAGCTACTAAGTACCTGTGAGGAATAAGGAGAAGCCCCCAGTTACTGGCTCCTAATGACCTCTCACACCCTTGCCTTCTCTAATTGGGATCCCAAAGTCACACCACATTTCCCGCTGGAGCTCTCAGGGGAGTCTGCAGGATCCAGACTTGAACCTGGGCAGCAATTAAGAGTGTCCCAGGCCTGAGCTGAAAACAGAATGATGTTTCTAGAGCTATTTTTGAAACAGCACATCAGCCATCGAGCTCCCAGGACAAGCCCTCTCCACAGAGACAGGAAGGTCAATGGCAAACGGGGACCGTTACCAGCAGCATTCCCAGCTTTTATCAGCCAAACCAGGACAGCTGCGACTGCACTCCAATTGGCACTAATTAATTTACATTTTAATTACGCTGTTTCTCATAATCCCAAACCAAACATTACTAAATTAACCAAGATGTTCCTCTTTAATTGTCCACTGTGGAGCAGGTGCAGTAATTTACTCCAGGATCCATAATTTGCCTGGGGCTGCTCGGGGCTTTGCTGCTTCTCCCAGCCTGGGCTCAGGGATGCTCCGGGCAGCCCAGCTTTGAGATGGACACGTTGGTGAGGGGTGAGACAACCAAACCAGACACTGGGAACATGAGAGGAGAACCTGCACCTGAGGGCAGAGGTACCTACGGATAAAGGAATCATGGTACAATGCGCCGGGAGGAATGAAGATGGGGTGACACGGAACGCTGCCCTGCCCGGATAAATAAACATGAGAGGACGTTGCTCCCGTCGACTTCCTCACTGAGAAGACTTCCAGCCTTTCCCAGAAGTCTGCTCCCTAGGGCTGAGGATAAGGAGATTGGTTTTCATTTTACCAAGGAAAAAGCTCAGAGCAGAGAGATGAAGTGACTTGGACGCGGTCACAGTGAGCTCCCGAGCAGGGCAGGAGGATGGGACTCCTTGATGGCCCATCACAGACCTTCCAGCATCCACTCCAGCTCCAACACCTCCACACCGAGCACCAGCAACACCCCGTAACCAGAGACCACACAAATCCTCAGCAGAGGGTTTCAAACAAACACCCGAAGGGACGCAGGCTCTAACCACGCTGGGTGCCTCCATGACCCCGTGGGGTGAGGACCTCCAACAACTGCTCCCAAGAGACCTCGTTCAGAAGAAAGCCACCAGGGCTGCCCAAGGAATGGGATCCCCTTTGTTGGGTACAGAAGGTTTTGGAGCTCAGGACAGTGGCCAGAGCCTCCCCACAGCATCGTGGTTAGACCAGCCAGGGATCCTGCTCCTGTGGCCCACCCGGTCCTTTGCCCAACGCCAGCGCGGTGGATGAGGAGAGGTCAGGGATTTGGGGATGTGGATGGTCATGGTTTTAGCATCTGAGGGAACTGGGGTTGTTGAGCCTGGAGAAAAGGAGGCTGAGGGGAGACCTTGTGGCTCTGTGCAAGTCCCTTGGAGGAGGGTGGAGAGAGGTGGGGGTGGGTCTGTTCAACCAAGGCCCAAGGGACAGGACGAGGAAATGGGCTCCAGTTGCACCAGGGGAGGTTGAGATTGGATGTGAGGAAAAACTTCACCCAAAGGGTTGTCAAGCATTGGAACCGGCTGCCCAGGGAGGTGGTGGGGGCACCTTCCCTGGTGGGATTGAACAGATGGGCAGACGAGGTGCTCATGGAGATGGTTAAGAGACGGAATTGGCAGTGTTGGGTTTATGGTTGGACTCAATGATCTTAAAGGGCTTTTCCAACCACTAGAATCCTATGATTCCATGATAACCAGTCCCTGGATCCTCTCGTACACAGGTCTCCAAAGAGCCATCACTCACCAGTTGTTACTACTGAAAGGGACCAAGCTAAAGCCAGTGATCCAGCAACAAGAAGCTCCAACTCCCTCCTCTTCTCATCATTCAGACATCCCTCAGCCAAAACACACGTATCCTTTACCTCCTACCAAAACAGAGGCAGTCACTCTGAAACACAAAATTCCCAAATCCAGCTTCCTGCCACCTCTTAAATGAAAACAGCACAAATTCCCAACCCTCCAGCAGCACCAGCCACTATCTCCTGGTATCTACCCATCATCTTTCCTTTGCAATTCGCTTGTGAAGAACCCAAACAAGTCAAGGCTTCAAATAAGGTCAGCGTTTGTTGGATTAGTCGCGTTACCTTTGCTCTCACAGGTGCAGCACCCAAGTGAAATACTGACTTATTTAGCGATAACCGAGTGCCCAGGAACTCTCTAGGGTTAAACAGCAGCTCCTCCCTGGTTTATACACCCACTGAGGTTGCAGATATGGGAATGGACCACGGAGCACTCCTTAGAGGGTCCACTGGCACAGGAGAGGGGTTGAAGAAACAAGTATGGATAAATAATGAAACAAAGGCCCAAAAGGAAAGGGCACAAGGAGAAAGAGCACCCGAGCAAAGCACCAGCTCTGAGACACAGCAGGCAAGAGGGAGCTAGAAAAGAAACAGCAATATACCCAGAGCTCTCAGTGCGACAGCGAACTCCAGAGGTGACATCAGGAGGGGGTAGATCAGGGATGGAGTCCATCTGAAGGAAATAAGAGGAGGTGGTGTGATGGTAATAGACAGGGTGGACATGGCAAGCAGGAGCAGATGCAGTGGTGGTGGATGAGGAGGAAGAGGTGGAAGAGGTGGCGGCAGCAGGAGATGACGGGCTGGTGCTGGGAAGGTCAGAACTGAAAGACTGTCCAGAGGAGAGGCTGTGCATTCGACGGAGAGAGACTCTGCCTGCCCGGTAAAGAGCAGGTTGGCCCGACTCATTCTGGCCTTGCACATAACTCTCTACCAACCTCTGAGATCCGTGGCCGTGCTGGGGGTCCACCAGGCGCTGGCGAACTGTGCTGGGCAAGGCAGGAGCTGTAACGAGACAAAGGGAAGAAGGTTGAAGGCAGCTGGGAAGAGACCCCCACACACATCACATCAGCGAGGAGATAAAGCTGCCACCCAAGGCCAGGGCTACGCAGCACCGCACCTCCTGTCACCGGGTCACCTGCAGCCAGCCCACCCTGTGCCATCAGTTACCCTGGTTTAATGCAGGAGAAGCATTAAGCTGGCGCTGAGGTTTAACATGCTGGATTAATGCCCAGCCCGTGAAAAAGCCACCATTGATGTTCCTGATCTAGGTGCTCTCTGAACACCTTATCTGATCATCTGCCTTGAGGCACAAACTGGCTGCCTGATTCATCTGACCCACAGCAGAGCAACCACCCAGGCTCCCTTCACAGTAAACCTGACACAGTCAGTTCTTTCAGGGAGTGATTCATTTCAGCCCAACACATCCAAATCATTCCTGGAGCAAAGGAGGCTGAGGGGAGACCTTGTGGCTCTGTGCAAGTCCCTTGGAGGAGGGTGGAGAGAGGTGGGGGTGGGGCCATTCAACCAAGGCCCAAGGGACAGGACAAGAGGAAATGGGCTCCAGTTGTGGCCAGGGCAGTTGAGATGGGATGTGAGGAAGAATTTCTTTGCTGCAAGGGTTCTGAGGCATTGGAAGGGGTTGCCCAGGGCAGTGGTGGAGTCCCCATCCCTGGAGGGATTGAAGAGTCGTGTAGACACAGTGCTGAGGGACATGGGTTAGTCACAGGGGACTGGTCAGTGTTGGGTTCATGGTTGGACTCCATGATCTTCAATGGCTTTTCCAGTCCAGGCCATTCTGGGATTCTGAGATGTGCAGTAATCAGGACATTAATTGGGTAGGGACAGCTTTTCCTCATCAATCCACACCTGAAATTACAGCTCTGGTCCAAAAGCGATACCATCTGTCCCCAGTCTGTTGGACAATTACTGATCAAAGAGATGCTCAGTTTGAAAAATATTTTTCCTCTAATTGCAAATTCACCTTAGAATTTGAGATCATCAGAGAAACAAGGTGGACCATCTCCTGCAGTGCAGCGGCACCAGCTAATTAACAGCTTTTACAGGTCATTATGATCTTTCTGGCCACAAAGTCTTCCCTGGTGGGTACCAGAGACCAGAGAGCTCAAGGAATTGTCTCTGCACCAAACCTACACTACCTCTCCGCCACACCTACACACTGAGCCCTTCAGAGTGGCAGTAGGAGGCACCTTCACCTACCCAGAGGTGTCTGCACGCTCAGTTCCATCGGGATTGGAAAACTAAGGATCCATGGAGCTGCAGGGCCATCCCACAGACAACCAGGGATTGCCTGGGATTAACCCACCAGCTGCGATTTCATACAAGATGTTCCTCCTCTTGCAGGAGATAAGGTGTTCAGGATCCTTCAGGATTTTTTTTATAACGCATAAGAAATCAATGTAAAAATGGGTTAAAAAGGTGAAGAGAGAGGAAAGCTGAGGAATGGAGTAGGAGAGCTCCTTCGGGAATTGAAGAACCAGCAAATCACTGCTAGAAAAACACACGGCCAGGAAAAGGCGAGTGAGTGTCCCGCAGCTCAGCCGAGAGCGACAGCTCCAGCTCTGACGGATCACTGCTGGGATGGACTGCAAGTGGAAGAAGGAACGAGCCAGAATAATTGAGGCAATTTTGCTGTTTCCACATCCCCCAGGTCAATCACAGCTTCTCTCTCAGGGTCCCACCACTCAGGTTTGCTGCTTCTTGCTTTACTACCCTGCCCAGCTACGAGCCTTTCGCTGGAGCTCTTTGTATCATCCGCTTTCTATTCCTCCCAAGGGGAAGAGGAGGGGCAGGCACTGATCTCTTCTCTCTGGCCACCAACCAATGCCAGGAGCAGAGGACATGGCAGGAAGATGTGGCAGGGGAGGGTGAGGTTGGCCATGAGGAAAAGGTTCTTCAGGCACCCAGAGGGTGGTGGAGCACTGGAACAGGCTCCCCAGGGAGGTGCTGATGGCACCAAGCCTGACAAGATTCCAGCAGCATTTGGCCAAGGCCCTCAGGGACATGGTGTGAATGTTGGGCTTGTCCTGTGCAGGGACAGGAGTTGGACTCCATCATCCTTGTGGGTCCCTCCCAGCTCACAACACTCTGTGATTCCATGATTTCATTATTACTTTTTCTCTGAAGAGCTCCAGAGCTGAAATCAAGTGAAATGGAGTCACACGGGGTCAAAGTGGAAAAAAAATCCCTTGCTCCGGTGATGACTGTAAAAAGCTGATCCAAGGAGGTGAGGGGAGAGTGTTACTGGGCAGAACTGGAGGCTGTCCCAGTTCTCCTGCTGTGACTCTGCAGCGGCTGTGCAGCTGAGCCGGGCAGGGACAGCACCACGGATCCCTCGTCCCTGCTGCCGGCGGGGACAGCGTGTGGGAGTCGCGGTTTGGAGGCCTGACGGGGATCATCGCTCTGCAGAAGAACTAACTGGGGGAGTGACGGTTCCCACCACAGGTTTCCTTTTCTCTCAGGCCATGCTTTTTCCCTAAGGGTTGTTTTTTTTTCCCCCTGGTGTTCCACTCCTCATTGATCAACCCTGCACCTTTGCACTCTCCTTCTGCATGGTTCACCCTGTGACAAGCACAGGACCAAGGGCTGAGTGAGACCTCACCTTGCACAGCCACAGTGGACCCTCGCTGCCCACAAACATCAGCTCGCTCCAGACACCGCACGTGTTCCATCAACATTCACCAAACAACCTGCTCGGCATCTCGAGGAAGATCTCCACCACCCAGGCCCTCACTGACACCAGTGCAACAGCTCGTCCTCCTCCATCCCATGGCCCCAGCACCAAGGCACTGGGGGACAGATTAGCATCACAGGTGACATTGCTGGATTTATTGAAGGATATCGAGGGAAGAGGAACGGCAACCGGCAGTGGGGATCGGGGTCACCCCGGCCGGCAGCGCGAGCAAAGCCTGCACGGAGGAGAAGGAGGAGGTGGGATGGGAAAGGGAACGTTACCACCTCCTCCTGGCCTGGCCTGATCCTTCATCTCCACCTCAACAAGTGCAAAACAACCCTCAGAGATTTCATAACTGGATTTTTTTTTCTAAAAGCAAACCCCAAAAGCACGTGAGAACTACAGGGAACTGCGATTCTTCTTCATCCCACCAGACTCCTCCCAGCGGTTAGTAAAGATGCTGACGGCTCAGTGAAGAGAGTTTTGCTCATTAGTTTTCCGTGCCAGAAAGTTGGAAAATTTGTGGATGTATTTTAGTCCAGAAAAAGGGCAGAGGGTAGAACAAAAAAAAAAATAAAAAATTAAAATATAATTGAAGAGAAGCAAACCAGGGTATTTCCAGAGGGACTGATCCTCCGAGGACAGAGACGAGCGGTCACTGAACCTGCGCCCGAAAAGCCAGGCTGCGTCTGGGATGGGCCAACGGGAGAGAGAAAAACGTGATTTACCAGGAACCACAGAATCACACAGAGTCACAGAATGTCAGGGATTGGAAGGGACCTCGAAAGATCATCCAGTCCAACCCCCCTGCCAGAGCAGGAACCTCAATGAGATCACACAGGAAGGCGTCCAGGCGGGTCTTGAATGTCTCCAGAGAAGGAGACTCCACACCCTCCCTGGGCAGCCTGTCCCAGGGCTCTGGCACCCTCACTGGAAAGAAGTTTCTTCTCAAGTTGAAGCAGAACCTCCTGTGTTCCAGCTCACACCCATTGCCCCTTGTCCTACCATTGGGCATCACTGAGAAGAGCCTGGCTCCATCCTCCTGACATTCACCCTGAACATATTTATAAACATTAATGAGGTCACCCCTCAGCCTCCTCTTCTCCAAGCTAAAGAGCCCCAGCTCCCTCAGCCTTTCCTCAGCAGGGAGATGCTCCACTCCCTTCATCATCTTGGTGGCTCTTGGTGGAGAACCATCATGGGTTGTCAGCAACGTCCCCGACACGTCTGGGGAGGAAAAACTTCTCCCCTGAAGGACTTCTTGTACATAAAGAAGGAAAAATCCCCCGGGGAACAGTGAATGCTCCCGCGCTTTGGGAACGAGGGTGCCCAGCGCTGGCTGCAGCAGTTCTCACCGGTGGGGACGCAGGTCA